ATTAAGGAGCGTTGGAGATGTCCAGAGGACAGATGCTGGAGAGGACGAGGAGACAGTGCACCTTCGGGGCTGTATCTGTGTAAGCCTCTGATCTTTTCACCTTTTTGCTGCGCACAATGAGACCCTCTGGCCACCTTCCCCCGGCTCCTCATGCTGGGCGCTAAAAGCAGAGAGGAATCCCATTGTTGGTGTTTGCTGCAGGGTGCTTTGATTCTTCACTTGTCAGGACCCATCAGTAGGAGGCAGCATCTCTGGGATGCCTCCCAGGGCTGCTGGATTGTGGTTCCCATTGTGATTGGCTCAGACGCTGCGAGGAAGTCGGTGCCATCTGCTGACGCTGTAGAGTGGCAGCCTGCGATCTAGAACACATCGAGAGTCATCCAACCGGGAGCTGACGGTGGGTGAAATAATGATTGATTGGTGTCTCTGGCACAACAGTGCTGCGTTTCCATGTGCAGCCACCCATGAGTCGGATGATGGCCTGAAATCACTGGTACAGCAGGGCAGAGATGTCAGCCATATGGCTGCTGCTAGCATGGTTTCAACCTTAGTGTAGATGGGCTGCTAAGGCAGTCGCTCTGTCTAGCTGGACATGTTTTTAATTGCCTGCCCCCTTCCCCGTCTATCCTGTCCTCTTGCCTCCTCTCTCTGGTTTTTAAGCTTTCGTTTGCTAGCCAGACCAGGGCAGGGGCTAGGGACTTGTGATGCCGAATGGGCGGCTGTGGAGGGAGGAGTCCCTGTTATGTTCTGCAGATATGGAGATTATCAACGTAACTAGAGCTGAACAAAAAGTGACTCCAAAGGCCACGGTGCTAATGAATGCTGGGGGCTCTCTGTTGAGTGTTTGCCCTTCCTCTGCTGTGTGTAGGCCGTGCAAGCAGGAAAGGCAACGTGCCAGTTTCCAAGCAGAATAGGTTTCCCATTATAGCCAGTAAAACCAGCAGCTCCTCAAGGTGGTTCCATGAAGGCACCATGGACCCAGTTATGGCACAGTGGAAGAACAGAAATTACACTACAGACACTTCAGAACCCGCAGAAAGAAAAGTCCCGCCTGTTTCCCCATTTCAAATCTCCTTGGGCCCATGTGCCTGAGCTGCTCTCCCTGCTGTGTTGGCAATGCGACATCCACTCAGCACCGCGGCGGCATTAAAAACTAACCGCCTGGGAGGACAATGCAGCGGCCGGGAGCCCTGGGTCATGCACTGCAGGAATGCTCCGTCCTACGTCCAGGCCTGCACTTCACTCGCCAGAGACCGGGCTGGGTTGGAGCGCCCCCTCCCCTGACCCGGAAGCCAGTGACTGCCCTAGCAGGGGGAGCTAAAGCTCACAAGGCTGGTTAGGACTGACCATCACATGTCCACATGCTTCTACTGCATCCTATCCTCACGAGCAGTGCCCAGGGCTAACGTGCTTGGCAGATGCCCAGCCTGAGGACTGATTGTGAAGACTTCCCCACCCACCTCTGAAGCTAGCTGAATGCTGGAACGGTGAGCATTCAGGAGGCAGATTTGGGGGGGAAAAGCCCCGCCGTATGCCCCGCCCCCCACGCGTCACCTCTGCCTGCGCTAGCGTTCAGCCCAGCCTGAGTCTGCTCTGGCACTGCAACTATCCAGCTCACACTGGGCATGCTCAGAGGCTTAGCCTGGCCACTCCCATTCTCTAGCCTAGTACCTTACTTTCAGGGTCACTCCCTTGCTCTCTAACACATCCACAGGTTAAGCAGTGCTTTGTGTAAGCCCAGAGCAGGAAGCACCTCCCTAGCGAGCTACCACCTCTGCTTCCTGGCGAACAGCTGCTGAATGCCTCCTCCTCCGGGTGCCTCCTCCTTGCTCCGCCCCCCGACCCCCAAGTGCTGGACAGAGCAGGAAGGGGGCGGCTTCCCTTCCAGCAAAGGTTCCCCAAGAAGTACAAATGGCAGATTTCCTGTGCTGCCCAGGAGAGCAGCCCTACGCCAATGAACCTGGCTAGGTGTGCCAGACTAGGCCTTCCTGTGACATGACATAACCAAGGGACGCATGGGGGAGCTAGCGAGAGGGGCTGCATGGGGCTAGGGGAGGTAGGCTGGGCAGTAGGACAGGGGAGTGAAGGCTCACGCCTACTCCAGCCCTTTGCTGGCTGTGCAATGACGGAGGCGGCAATCTCTGTCGGCTTCCTTTGGCAAAAGTCACATAACGTGTCTCCTTTTTAATATACAACGAGCTGGTATCTGGGACTCAGACCCTGGTCTAGCACCGTTTCAAAGCACTTACAAAACTTCAAGCACATGCTAAAGTGCTTGGCTGGATTGGGGCCTTAGTCTGGAGCTGCGTGGGCCTAAAGTCTGAAGTGTCCCGTCCCAGCGCTTTGGTAGCCGGAGGGAGTGGAGGAAAGGTGAGATCCCAGGCTACGTTTCATGTGGAACTGCATCCAACTCCTAAACGCCTCAACAGCTTGACTTTGAGCGTCCCTGAAAATGCACTCGTCACCCTGCGTGTGCGCTGCACGTTCCTCAGACCTAGGAAAGGGATCTAAGCCCTGCTACAACCGCAAACCTCAGTGCAGCCCTAGCCATAGACTCTCCGTCACACACTCTCACCTGGGACTGACTGGGATGCTCTCATTGGGGTCAGGAGGTATTTTCATCCCAAGCCTGTTTTCAGGCAATTAGAGCTTTCTGCAAACAAGTCCCCTTTGGGCAGCCGTTTCAGAGAAGGCTGCTCGCTAGTTAAGATACAGTCTTCTGTGGAAGCATCAGACTTTCCCCGAACCCAGCCTTCCGTGTGGGCTTTGAAGTTGGAGGAAATTTGTTTAGAAATAACAGTTAAAATATTTTTTCCAATACATTTTAGCATGAAAGTCGAGCACAACACAGAAAGACGACGTAAACCCTAAGCGCACAGGCCAAGAGCAAACACAGCGACTCATATCTATGCTAATGAGAGGACTCCTCCAAAGGAGAAGTCATTGTCAGTACGGTCTCATCAGAAACCTATCTCATCGTGGGTTTTAAGTCCTGCTTATACGCTGGGGTGACTAGATGCTGTTACATTGCCAGTATTGTAAGGTATCTTGTCAGCGCTAATACAGCGGTGTGTGAGGATTGCTAGCTCTCGCCTACAAAAGGTATAAGATTATATAGTGTATGTGGCATAGACCCCGCATTTTACTTTTCCCCACGGGGGTATGCCCGAGGCCCTGCCCCCACTCCATCCCCTCCCCCGAGGCGTCCCTCCAGGGTCCCTTCCTCTGTCTTCCCTGCCAGGACCACTGCGTCGGAAGGTGCCCAGCACACCTGGCAGTGTTTGCGCTGCCAGCCCGTCCCCTGCCCTTGCCTTTGGGTCTCCCCGTCCCACGTTGTGCGCTGTGGGCGGGTTAACATGGGGAAAACAACATATTTTTCCTAATTTTGTTCAGAGAAAAGGCTGGACCGTTTTATCTGAAACTTTCCAGAACATCTCCACCTGAGGCAGACACCTGGCAAGGAAAATTTCAGACGGAATGGTTACATTTTGGCAAATGTATAAGAAATTGAAAGAAGGATCTTATAATGGAAAGTATCTGGCAGCCTTAACGGTCGTCATTGCTACCTGCGCTGTCTATAAAACGTTGTCTGTTTTATTCTCAGTCCTGACTGGCTGAAACATCATCTGACCTAAAGCCTTTGGACCCATATTGGCTGGAAAATCAGCCTTAAAGTTAGTTTAAAGTTTAATGTCGTTTAAATCCTTAAATCAGGGTTTTTCCCTGTGCAATACAATGTGCTTTTTGGCAGCGCTGCTGACCGTTATTTTCACCGTGCAAAGTGGGGGCAAAACGTCGTATTCTTTACATTTAAGCAGCTCTCTAAGCAGAAGAGCCTCTATTACCGCTCGCTGGGCTGCAGCTCCTGAACTGCCGTTTCCGAGCTGCTGCCACGTATTTCGTTAGGATTCTATATTTGTAAAGGGGGAAACCCGCCCGTGGAGGAGCAGATTTCACCCGTGGACGGTGTGAAACGGCTGGGCTGCAGCCCCCTGTAGGTACAGATTGTGGGTGAAGCAAGGTTGGCAGGGCCGTGCTCAGAGATGGACCAATGCCAGGGCTCTCCAAGGCCGAGCCTGAGCACCACGACGGCTCAGACGGCAGCCGCTGCTTGTGCACACGTGGCACCTAGGGACAAATGCCGACCCCCAGCGCAGAATGGACGTGTTCCTCTACGCAGACGGGCGGGATTGGCAGCACGATAACATGGCTGAACCCAGCTATTTCAGCGCTTCCTACATGGCGCTTAGCTCCTGCTTGGGGCAAGGCAGACCAGGGAAGGGGTGGGGCAGGGGGAGCTACCACCAGGGGCTGCTCTCGCCATAGGTAGACTAGGCAGCTGCCATGGGCTGCAGATTTGGCCCGGCTGCCCCTCTGTCATGACAGAGAGCGGCTAGGCCAAATCTGTGTGGTATTGCGACCCTGTGTGCCAGGTCACAACACCACTCACTCTAATTTGGCCTGGCTCCCCCTCCATCATGACCAGCTGCCCTAGGCTAGGCGGAGGGGTGCAGCACACTAACGCGCCAGATTGTCTTGCGTGGCCTCTGTCTGCCCCTCCGTGGATCAGCCCGTTACCAGCCTGCGGGAGGGACTGGAGAATTCTCCCCAGCCCGTGGTCCGGAGGGAGATCCCCAGTGCACGAGCGGAGCTGGGGCTGGGCTTGGCGCCAAGGGCCGGATCCAGTGCCCACTGGAGGCGAAGGGCAGGATCTCCGTGGATCGCGCCCTAGCTGAGCATGGGCCCCCCTCCTTGTGGGGAGCAGGCGGCACCCAGCTCTGGAGTGGGTCATCAGTGGTATGTGAAGAGACAAGTGCTAACCTGGGGCGGAGGCTGCTCGCTGCCCAGGCTCAGAGCTGGTTTCTGCACCAATCTGCTTGTTCAGGCTCTGCCCTGAGCCGTGCCTGGAGGCCTTCCTGGGGTGGGCGAATGGCTCTGCTGTGCTGCTCACTCGGACCTGCCTCCCCTTGACGGCTCTTTTTTGTAATCTCCCCGCAGAAACGCTAATGGACTCCACCACGGCGACGGCAGAGCTGGGCTGGACAGTGCATCCTCCCTCAGGGGTGAGTTCTGTTCTCCTCGGGACGTGGGCCCCTGCATCCATGGGATTTAAGGGACCAGTGGTGTAGGACCCAGATTGGGGCTGATAAGCAATCCCAGATGTTACTGTTTACAAAAAGTGATTCACCGAAACAGGGCCAAAACCAAAACAAGCAGACGGCAAAAACACCCCCCCCCCCCCTTCCTGAATTCTGAGATTTTGAAAATGTTTGATGTGGGGTAACATTTTAAAAAGCATCTGTGAGATTAGGAGCCGAATTCTCATTGGCTGTCAATCGGACTGAAACGCCTACGGGGTGAAGTCCCTTTTGAAAACGGCAGTCAGGGGCTTTTGAGGCTGTAGCCCACTCTCCATAGTCGCTGGAACGCTCGGACGGGGGTGGGAGATTCAGCAAATGCTTCATCACAAAATTTCCCAGATTTTTTTATTTTTTTTTAATTGTCAAAATGTGAGAAATGTCAGTTATCCGGGTTGGAAAAGGCCAGGAACGCTGACCCCAAACACACCCGCTGCGGGCCCAGCGCCCGTCGTGAACTGGCTGAGATTAGCAAGTGAAGCTGGCCTGGCTTCTGTCTGGTTGGGGAGCAGCT